GGAAGTCAAACTTGAAAGAATGGATAACACATTTTGTTTTGTTCTACTTTGAGATGGGTTTTGTTGTTCAAATTTCTAAAAGGTCTTATAATAAAAACCCGGAGCCAGAATATTGTGGTAAATGCTGAAAGATCAGAGGGACAAAGTAGCAAGCCATAGCCACCACCTCTTACCTCACCAACTCCTCAGCCTGAAAAGCCTCACTCAATAGACCTCTAGCTGAATGAGCTTCCGCAGCCAGAAAGGCTTCAGCTGAAAAAGCCTCTAGCTGAAAGGGACACTTCTACCGGAAAAACCCTTAGTTCCTGTCTCCTCATGCCTTTTATACCTTTCTCCACCCAGCCATTACTTCCTGGGATTAAAGGTGTGTATGCTTCTTAGTACTGGGATTAAAGATGTGAGCCATCACTGCCTGACTCTGTTTTCTCTCCAAGACTGAGTCAATCTCATGTAGTCCAGGGTGGCTTTGAACTCACAGAGATCCAGACAGATCTCTGCCTCCTGAGTGCTAGGATTAAAGGTGTGTGCCACCACTGTCTGGCCTCTGTGTTTAATCTAGTGGCTTGTTCTGTTCTCTGTTTTTCAGGTACATTTTATTAGGGTACACAATATATCACCACATGGTTTCTTCTACATTAGCCTCCCAAGTACTTGAATTACAAGTGTTAGCCTGCCATTCCTGGCAGGAGACTGGATAGGAGGAGTCAGAATTTGTATGTTGCAAGCATGTTTTCCTCTGGAAAAACGTAAGTGCTCTTAACTGATGAGCCATCTCTCTACCTCCTTTAAATATTTATTCGTGTGTGTGTGTGTGTGTGTGTGTGTGTGTGTGTGTGTGTGTGTGAGCATGTGCCTGGTGTGCCTATGGAGGCCAGGAGTGGGCATCAGATACCCTGGCCCAGGAGTTACAGTCAATTTTGAGCCACCCAGTGTGGGTCTGAGAATTGAATTCTGGTCCTCAGGAAGAACAGCATCCTTAATGGCAAAGCCATTTCTCCAGCCTCCAGTATTTATTTTCTATGTATCTTTCTACTGCAACTCAGTGAATAATAATACCATCTACTGAGATTGAGAATGTGAGAGATGAGGAGCATCTGCAGGGAGATTGAGTCTTTAACATGCTGTTTGTGGAGCCTTTTATCAGTAAGAAAGAAGGCAATATGCAAAAGGGCCTAGTCTTCAAAGCATAGATCTGGACTGAAGATAGATATATATATATATACCTGGAAGTTGTCATTGTATCAGTGGTAAACGAACCTGTGGCATGAGTGAATGTATCTAGGGAGAAAATGATTGAGAAGAGAAACTACAGTAGGATTTGAGAAACTCCAACATTTAATGACTGTGTACATGAAGTTCATTTATGAAGGGTGGTGGCAGCACACGCCTTTAATCCCAGCACTCCAGAGGCAGAAGTAGGCAGATCTCTGTGAGTTCAAGGCCAGCCTGATTACAGAGTTTCACGACAGCCAAGGCTGTTACACAGAGAAACCTGTCTTGAAAAACAAAAACAAGCAAACAAAGTTTGCTTAGTAGGACTGATTGTTCAAATTGTACACATTCTAATGAAAAGTTTGTCTTTAGGCTTCCTGGGAAATAACTTCTGAGTCCTTGGAATACTCTAACATGAGTTTCTGTCTGCTTGAAGAAGTGGTCACAGTGTACATTTGACCTTTGGGAGAACAGAGTCTGGGTAGTTGAGATGTCACAAGGGCATTGCATGTCTATGGGACTGACTCCCAATAAAGATTCTGACAGCATGTCTTGGGTGAGCCTCCCTGATTGGCAACACAATATACTCGTTGACACCTATCATTGTTGGGGGAACCAAGGTAACTCTAACATGAGAGGATACCTGGAAACGTTGAGACTTTGTTCTCCATGTCTTTTGCCTTGGATGATTTTTACCTATACCTGTCAACTTTAATAAATTATAGGAGACTTTTGAAATTGTATAGGTTCATTCAGCAAATCACTGAGCCTACACATGGTACTGGGGCCTCTAACAGTCTGTAGCACAGAAACAGCAGTTCAAATGGCAAGAGGAAAATCAGCAGAGGGTGGGATCTTGAGAGCCAAGGAAGTGACTCCTGAAGAGGGAAAGAGCAACAGTATTAAATCCCTTTGAGATGACAGGAGTCAAACATGTACACTTAATGCAAATATATGGAAATAAACCACAGTGTTGGAGAAAGCAGTTTTGGTAGAGTGATGTGAGTGGAAATCTGGCCAGAGTGGATTTAGATATGAGTGGAATATGAGGAAATAGAGATCTTTAGAGTGAGAAATGTGAAAAAAAAAACTGAAAAAACTATTTGCTTATTCATTAATTTTTTTAAAAAAATAAGGGTTCCTCTTTCTCCATATCCTCTCCAACATTTGTGTTTAGATTTTTTTTATTTCTTTTCAAGATTTACTTATTTACTATGTATACATGCCAGAAGAGGGCACCAGATCTCATTATAGATGGCTGTGAGCCACCATGTGGTTGCTGGGGATTGAACTCATGGCCTCTAGAAGAGCAGCCAGTGCTTTTAACCTCTGAGCCATCTTTCTAGGCCCGTGTTTAGATTTTGTGATGATAGCCATTTTGACTGGGGTCAAGTGGCATCTCAAAGTAGTTTTTATTTTCATTTCCCTGATGACTATGGAAGTTGAACATTTTAAAAATTAGTTATTGGTTGGGTGGTGGTGGCCCACGCCTTTAATCCCAGCACTCAGGTGTCTAGGCAAGTGGATCTCTGTGAGTTCCAGGCCAGCCTAGTCTACAAATCAAGTTCCAGGACATCTAGGGTTGTTGCACAGAGAAACCTTGATTCCAAATAACAACAACAACAAAAGTTATTGGCCATTTATTGGAATTTCTTTCTTAATTCCTTCCTTCCTTCCTTCCTTTCTTTCTTCCTCTCTCTCTCTCTCTCTCTCTCTCTCTCTCTCTCTCTCTCTCTCTCTTTCGAGACAGGGTTTCTCTGTGTAGCTTTGAGCCTTTCCTGGATCTCGCTCTATAGACCAGTCTGGCCTCAAATTCAGAGATCCACCTGCCTCCGCCTCCCAAATTCTGGGATTAAAGGCGTGCACCACCACCGCCCCGGCTTTTTTTTTAAAGTATCTATTAGGGGGTGGTTTAGGGAGTGGAGGCTGGGAGGGGTGGGAGGAGAAAGAAGGGGTATCTGTGGTTTGTACGTAAAATGAATAAAAGATTTCTTACTAGAGAAAAAAAAAGAAGTGTAAAAAAGTAAAATAAAAGTATGAAGAATAAGAAAAAATGTATCTATTCATTAGCCCCTTTGATGACTGGTCATTTTAAGTTGCTTGATTTTTTTTTCTCTTTCAATTTTTGGTAAATTCTGGATATTAGCCCCCTGTCTGAGATATAACAGGTAAAGATTTTCTCCCATTCTGTGCACTGTCTTCATGTTCTGCTGATATTTTCCTTTGCTGTGTAGAGACTTTTAATTACTTGTAGTCTCCATCTGCTGAAACTCCGAGCTAGCCCTGTGCCGCTGTTCTGTTCAGGAAGTCTTTGCCTAGCCTAATGGTTAATAGCCCAAGAGATTGGAATTTTATTATTGAAAATCTTTACAATGGTCCCACTATTTAAATGAGCAATTTCATTTTTGAGAATATCCAGAAGAAATAATTGGAGACATGTAAATTATGACCACAGTGCTTATCACAGTATTTTGTTTTGGTTTCTTCTCTTTTTTTTGGTGTTTTGAGACAGGGTTTTTCTGTGTAGCCCTGGCTGTCTTGGAAATGGATCTGTTGGCTAGGCTGGGCTTGATCTCAGGCCTCCACTCCTGAGTACTGGGATTAAAGGTTTGTGCCACCACTGCCCAGCACAGTATTTTTTCTTAATAGACATTTAGAAACCACTTTATTGTTTAAAAATAGTAGCCAATGCATCATAATATATTCATACAATGAAACCTACTTATTGTCTAAATTAGGACACATTTTATTAATTGCAAGAATTAGAGAATACTTTGTAAATTGGACGTTTCTGCTTCAGTACTGGTGTATTTATTATTGTGCACCTCAGTGATCTTGGAAATACAGAAGAGCTGATAATAACTGGGTGCAGAACTCGTTTCTGTTCTCACTCTCTTGATGTTAGTGGTTGTCAAACTTACTCTGGAAGTATTCTTTGCAAACCCCAGCGCCATGCTTCTTCCTCCAACAAGGTCACACCTCCTAATCCTTTCCAGCAGGTCTGCTCCCTGGGGACCAAACATTCAAATAAATGAGCCCATGGGGGGCCATTCTTATTCAAACCACCACAACAGCCTTATCTCATGTTTTTCTCCTTTCCCTGTTCAAGCCATTCTAAGCCCTCTGACTCCAGGTTGTTCCTCTCCGGAAACCAGGAATCTCTATTTGCCTCGGGCCCTTTGTATCTGTTACCTGTTCCTCTATCTGAATACTCTTGTGCAAGTCAGGCTTCTTCACCTATCAACAGAGCCCTTATTCAATCAGCACTAATCCTTTACACTCTCCTGATTTTTACTCCATAGCGTTTATCATTCCCTGACACACTGTCCGCGTTCATCCATTAAATTTGTCAACTTCTTGAAGGCAGAGAGCTTCATTGTTCTAGCCCCGTAGAAACCCCAGTGTTGTATCTAACACATACCGGGGCAGCAGAGGTTTTGAAGGGATTGATGAAAACCGTTTTTCTGCAAATTTAAGGACTCAGACAAATATAGTTCCTGCAGTACTGTCTGTGGTTCAGGATGGGTTTCTGAACCTAACATTAAAGCAGCTGTTGCAATTACATACATTGCCCCTCCCCCATTTCCTTTTGGAGACAAGGTCTCCCTGAGAAGCCTAAGCTGGCCTTGAACTCGGCCTGTCTGCAGGTGACTACAGATGGCCACTATCACGTTACAGCTGTATTGGCAAAGTGGAGGTCTGATCACAAACCAAAACGAACCAAACCCTTTCAGAAAGCTTCTATGACAGACGGTGAGGACAGTCAGCTTGCTCACCCGGAGACGCTGAGCGAGACTCTGGGGATATATAATATTGGTTAGAAACGTGGTCTCCTAAACTGGCACATCAGCCACAAGGACTTCTCAACATTCATCTGCTCTCCAACTTCCTGATTCTGCTCTGGGGTGTGGCCTTGGCATCTCTGTTTAGAAAAAGATCATTTGATTGGCTTCCAGGTATGTAGCAACGTTGGAGAATCACCTTAAGAAGCTAAAAATAGCTATTAGGAGACTTCTTTCTCACCGGAGGAAGCCTATTTCTGGAGACCTTTGGGGGGTGTGTTTGTGGATGGGGGAGTGGGGACCCTGGTTGCTCTCCGGAGTCACAGCCCTCTAGAGAACGCGGGCCATCAACACCTAGCACAGACCCAGGTGGTCCGCACCTCCTAGCTGGAAGGCCGCCGCGTCCGAGCGCGCGACAGGTGAAGCTCCCGCGGAGGCGCGCCCGTCGCTGGGGACGGCGTCGCCGCGGAGACGCTCGCTCGGGGACGGACGCGGGCCAGCCTCCTACCCTTGCACGCTTTCCCTCCCTTCTCCCCGCACCACCGCCCCTTCGGCGCCAGCAGCCAATTCCAGACCACAGGCGCCAAGCTGCACCGACTTCAGGCTTTAAAAGCTCCTTCCGAGCGACAGCGCCCCGGCTCTGTCGCAACGCACCGCCCCGAGGCGCGGACTGGCTTCGCGGACGGTTCCGCGCCCGCGCGCCCGCGCGC